TATCTATTTATTTGATGTTTCTAAAGTGTCATAATAGAAAGATGGAAAGAGAGTAAGAGAGAGAGAGAGTGTATGAGAGAGGAGAAAAAAGAAAGAAGAAAAGAAGAAGAGAGAGAAAAGAAGGAGGGGAGAGAGAGAGAGAGAGAGAGAGAGAGAGAGAGAGAGAGAGAGAGAGAGACTGCTTGCAGTCTACTGAAACTAGACTTTTCTACTGTATGTATAGTTCGACATGATAGTAGCACGACGGTGAGCTTGCCGTGTTACCTACACGTACAGGGCAGTAGCACGACATTTGAAAAGGTTTCTAAGGGATCCTTTGAGGGTCTTAATCGGGTAAACTGTCAGCTGTCGAAAGACCTAAAAATTAACCTTCAACCGTCAAGACCATCAACTGTCAAAAGTGAAGATTAATATTAACCTTCAAAACGTTTCAAGGTGTTTCAAATCTCACTATTTCAGCTGATCTTCCTGGGATTCTAGCTCCTGAAGAATCTCTAAACTGGAAAAACCAGTTCTCATATCTCAAAAACACTTTTTATCGTGATGCAATATCCTACAACATACTATAAGTGAGAGGCCAAAAACAGTTAACATTAATTCATACAGAAGTTAATATTTACTTTTACTTCTGGACTGAATATCCACTAAAATTATAACCATCAAGATAAATGCTCTCCTCTTAAAAATTGGCTAGTCAGACTGATGCGTTTGAAATTAAAATTGGGTTTTAGTGAGAATGTTTCTTAAACTGTGTCACTGCCATGTTTACTGCAAAACGGCTAATAACAACATGTATTGAAAACCTGTTCAAACAATATTTTGGTTGGCCAGACCAGCCTTCTTCAGGTTTACAGATGTTACTAAATTTTAAATAGGAATAATAAATATTACAATATTATATAGATGGAGAATGTCATAATGCAAATCGCATATAATATACTAATTCCTATTAAATATTTAGTAGCATCTGTAAACCTCAACAAGGCTAGTCTGGCCAACCGAAATATTGTTTGAGAAAGTTTTCAATACATGTTGTTATCAGCTATGCAGTAGTCTTTGGACTTCTCGTTTTTTGTTTTCTATTTTTTTTTCTGATTAGATCCAATGTTGACAACAGGCAGGATCTTTGTCCACGGTTTTTGCAGTTTATTTCATTATCACTGCTGTGTTTGCTATTTAGGAATAGGCTGAGCTGTTGGACAGTCCTGATTACTAGTGAAGTTGTCTCTATGACTGAGGTGGTCTAGCTGGCTCTTCAGTTCTGACTAACTGTAAATGCCCTAAGTTATGGTTAACAGAAAATCGTTTTGTGAGAACTGCGGTTTTCTCGCCCACCGTAGGGGGTCCTCCATCAGCTGATCAGACTGACGCCGCAGATGATTTTTTATGAGATCGAGAAATAGCTCTTCGGCAATCAACAAATCCCTGCATTACTGATTGTTCGAAGTCAAGGGCTGTTGTCAAAGTTTAAAAAACATGTATCTTTTGCTGTTAGATTTATCTTGTATCTCTTCAATGCGGTGTGTTTAAACAGCGAACAAATTCAAAATCAATGATTCTGATCATTAGCCTGCTCTGGTAGATGTGTATTGAACACACGTACCAAAAATTGATTGGTACCAGGCCAGTGAATCAGTCCTGGCTTAAGGAGGCGACATGTTTTCCACGTACTCATATAGGTACCCGCGCGAGAAACGACGGGGAAGGCAGGCTGAAGACTTGCAGATGATAGCCGGTGACACAGCGGCCCACAAGTAAATCCATGTGTAACACCACGCACGGACTAAGTACACCATGAGATAGGATACAGTATAAGGAAAGAAAAGCCATTCGATGTGTATTTTGCTTTGAATGAGTAATCGACGCTTTCCGCTGCAGCCATGCAGGTAGCTCCCAAATTTCTCTGAAAGGTCATGCCTGGCAAGTAATGTGGCTGACCAAGAGAATTGGGAGACGTTCTATCATATTTCTGCCTCTAAGGCCTCGTCTACTTCGTCCAGAAGTCCAAGCTGTAGGTTTGCCTTTGAAATTAAAAAAATAAAATTCTCCTTACTTATCGTGTTCAAGTATCATCAAGTACTGTTATAAATACTTAGTGGTAGACAGCACTCAGGCTGTTTTAAGTTAAAACTTTTTGCTAACGCTTCAAGGATAGTGAATTACGTAACTGTGGAGATTAACAATGGTCTCAGGCCCAAAACGAAAGGAGAGGTTACAGACAGAGAAATTTCTCATTTAAAGTTTAGCTGTTCAAAACACGAATGAGAATAGAGCCTTTTCACATGACGTTACGTCCGCCATGTTGGTGTCACCTACCCTTTCCCTAAGCCAACATTAACTCTTACTTCTCAGTTAGGACAAAATGTTGGCTTAGGGGAGGGGTAGGTCGGCAGTTTCCCTGAAACGTATGATGATCCACGCTTTGTATAGCTGCTGGCCACGCGGGTGAAAACGCTCTATACAGACGACTTATAGGTTGTGAACTTCGAGCCCATGCAGTCATGAATGGGTTTGTTTAAAAGAAACTGTGCATTTGGCAACCTCATAACCCTCCCTCAAGGAAAGCAAGAAGAAAGACCCTGTCAATATAGGTTGCTCATTGCGGTTCTAATTTCACAGTGAAATTCTCACTTTCTGAACAGTTTCCATAACCGAGTTCTCACGGATATTCGGTTTGCACGCGCGTTAGCATAGCGCGAAGTTTTGAAATGCGTTAAGGATTTACTGATTAGTTCTCTTGTGAAAACTCCTAATGTAATAAATTAAAGCGGAGAGTCTATTTCTCACCTTTTTCTGTATGATGGGAACAGGTAAAGCAATCATCAACACACCGACGATACAACCCAAACTGCCAACTATCCTTCCAATGGGTGTGTGTGGTACCATATCTCCATACCTGTAGGACAAACATGATACATACAGTGTATGGTTCGAAACTGTGACAAAGCCGGTAATCTCGCGATTGTCGCAGCCAAGCACTTTTTAACTTTTGGATAACGATCACGTCCAACTTTCCTATTCGAATAAGATATAATTCCAACGTAACAAAACCCGGTAGGGCTTGCTCATCGACGAGACTCACTCACTTCGAATAAGGACTCCACTGTTAAAGTTAATAAATTTGGTAAGCGACCACCATTAGTTCCAAAATTTAAAAAGTGCACACTCCGAATACTAAACAAACGTTTATTTATTTTTAATTAAGTATTTAATTGCGTATATATTAAAATTCAACGGCACAAATTGCACTTCATAATAAAATAAGTTAAAATATTCTTTTTAAAAGAAAAATCAACGATAAAAAAGTAACACGACGTTTCAATGACTCCATCAATCATTATCAAATGCGAAGAAAATTAGCATGAATTGGTGATATATATACAGAAAAAAAGAAAGTGTCAGGAATATGTAAAGTTAAATTGAGGCGTGAAAATGGAGCAAACTAACAATTAAATAAAAAGTTTCGCCGCTGATGGCGTCTGTAATAACAGACGGGTAAAAATTTAAATACAAATATAATAAAAAGTACAAAGCTATATAAAAAAGATAAGCTCAACCCGCTCCCACTTCCCTGCCTGCTCATGATAGCATTAAACAAATTTCACCCCAAACTTAAAGGCTGTTCTCATAAGAGGACGCAGAGGGTTTTTACTGGAAGTACAACACCATGCAGAGTTAAAAGCTTTGTGGGCACTTAATCCCATTTAATATTTGACACTCCTCGAAAGGAGTGTCATGGCGAAACTTTTCAATGTATTAAATGTCAGCATACACTGCAAGATAATCTTCATTTCGCGCCAGAATAATTTTGTTTGCGCGCTTTTAAAGCACCTAAAATCACTCGGTTCCCCACAACGCCTGCATTGTTACTGGACTACATTGCCTTGGTGTAGATCTAGCATTTCACCTCCTCGTCGCTTCTTTTTCTTGGGAATTGTTTATATTTGGAAGTAGTGAGAATAGATCAGAATGTGTGGTGGATGTTCAAACTCGGCTACAACTAATACATGCGGCCTAATATCAAGGAAGGATGCTGTATTTTTCTCATTGTTAGCGAAAGGAAGGTAAAAAAAAAACGATTGCTCTGAGGTAAGAATTGAAATTTTTAATCAGTTTCTCTGCGAAAACAACCGTTCCACAGTAAAGAAATTTAGTATCGCTGCGACTTTATTATGATATGACGCCAGCTTGTACTTAGTAATTGTATGACTCCATAAATTCGATTCGCTTTTTCGCAGATCCGGTAACATTCGATAATTTTTTCTTCGCTTTCTTAAGTGTGATATATTTTTAAAGACGGTGCCTTGTTCAATGGTTCATTTCCTTGGCCTCGACGATTCCCATGAATTTTGAGCTGCCAGACATAGCAAATGCTCTAGAGCTGAATAATGCATTAAGTTTCTATGTTATTAACTTCATAAGAGAAAAATCATGATTGTTATTTCACATTTTAATATTTTTACGTTAGAAAACTTGGCCAAATCAAGAGAATGAGCTATAATGTTGACACACAAACGTAAAGAATGTTTAAGCTAAGGGAGAGGTGCTAGATCGCAACATGTTCGTGTCCTCCTGTGCTTATATATTTTGCGCGGAAAGCCAGACCTTCAGCTGGACCTTTTCAATCCTAACAAAAATACTCTTGTAGTTTTGAACCGGCTTAAGCCCCAACCCTAAAGTGGACACGAAGCTTTGATTTTGGGCGCGAGACTCAACAGAGACGGCTGTGACCATTTTTTGAAGCGCGAACCGATCACAAGCTTTTTTCAAAGTGTGAGTTAGAAAGTACTTCTCCTGTTGCTGGTCTAAAACTAACTTCTTTTTCGAACTGGCGAAAGGCGCGTCCCATACAGTTCCATGCAACAGTTCCATGCAACAGTTCCATACAGTTCGATGTAACATATCCTACTCCTGTTCATAGACTAAAACTAACTTCTTTATCGAACTGGCGGACGGCGCGTCCCATACAGTTCGGTGTAACATATCCTACTCCCGTTTCTAGTCTAAAACTAACTTCTTTATGGAACTGGCGGACGGCGCGTCCCATACAGTTCGATGTATCATTTTCTACTCCTGTTCCTAGTTTAAAACTAACTTCCTTTTCGAACTGGCGGACGGCGCGTCCCATGCAGTTCGATGTATCATTTTCTACTCCTGTTCCTAGTTTAAAACTAACTTCCTTTTCGAACTGGCGGACGGCGCGTCCCATGCAGTTCGATGTAATATATCCTACTCCTGTTTCTAGCCTAAAACTAACTTCTTTTTTTCGAACTGGCGGACGGCGCGTCCCATACAGTTCGATGTATCATTTTCTACTCCTGTTCCTAG